TAAAAACCATACTTTTGCTGAACTGTATTGCTTTTGATGATATACCTATGTGATAATGCTTTTTATGATATTCTTATAGCATTATAAGTATACAAATACAAAGCCTATTTTATTTACAAATAATATGCATTAAATTCCTTTGAAAAATACGAAAAAGAAATTTAGAAGGTAGGCAACATATGTGAAGTTTTTGACAATTGCCAAAAGCATGACAAAAGAAAGATTCTGAAGATTTCTCGAGACACCCCGGGAACGCGAATCATTTTAAATTGTTCAATTCAAGTGTATTCTATATTTTTAAACACCAATGAAGATTTTAAACTTGTGCAAGTATTATAGCATTAAAGAACAAAGTAACACTCTTAGTTTATTGCTCAATATCTTCGAAAAATATGTACAGTAGAGACATGAGTATGATCTCATATCTTAAAACCCGTGCGTGAAGACTTTAAGTACAAGCCCTCTTAAGACCGAGATATACAGAATTTTTTCTGAGCCCAAGCCGAGCCTAGCATGATATTAAATATTACAGATAAAGGCCGAATTCGACGAAAATAAAAAAAACTGACCTTGCAAAGACAAAAGTTAAAAAAAAAATTTTTTTGAAATTTCTTAGTTACGATTCATAATTTTTATAACCTTATGACTAAATCAAACAGATTTCTTTTTACATTTTAATAGTTTTTAAGTACTAAATGATATAAAAACTAAATAACGAGCCTCAGCTCGTGTGCCTGTCGCGCCTAGCTGAGCGCCTATAGTTCGTTCCATGCGTACAAGACTTGCCTTATTTACAAACTTTCTACATAGAAATTTCGAAAGAAAAAAAAAACTAGAAAAAGTGAGAAAGTTTAGATTGTGGGGAGCATCCGTGATCTTTTTGACATTTTCTTGTTCTTCCTCAAGGATACAAAGATCCCCTCTTTATACTTCAGCCACCTGACTTCTCACAGAGGGGTTCGATTAGGGGATGGAGGGTTTCTCCAAGGGGCAACATGACCCCATTCCATTCTGAAAACACACAAGAATGAGGAAAAGTGAAGGTCGTTTGCCTCAGGTGGTAGTATTGCGTCATTTTCACCAGGTAACCCCTATTTGTACCCCCATGGTCGATAAAAACAAGCACGTGGGAGGGGCTCAGCGCTACCATCTGATAATTTTTTTTTCCTCGAATCGTTATGGGAGGGCAGACTTGTGTGGAAACATGAGAATTGGTTCGTTTGTTTTGCAGGGATTGAATTAGCTCGTTATTTAACGTTTCCCTTTCTATTTCCTGAAAAGAATTCTAGAAAGTGATAGAATTGTTTTCGCATATCACGGAATTTTTTTATTTTTTTGTTTTCTTTCTCTAGTTTCGTCATTTCACCGACTTGTTTTTCCATGTGGTCATAAAAAGTTTGCAGGGAAATGCACGAGGCCTTGTTTTGTATTATTCAAAAAAGTGAAGAAAGTAGTAAATCTCTTTTTTCTACTTATTCACACTTTTGCTTCTTCCAAAATCCGTCAAATTAATGCGTGTGTGACAGTGATTCCCAACTTTTTCCTAACTACGAAACACTCTTAATTTATCTAGATTTTGAAACCTAGTGAACCAATGTATCAGAAATTTTGGAACCTATTGAACCAATATATGGCTCAAATAGGCTGCAATCTTTAATATTGTGTTTGGTTGTACCACATTATCGTAGTTCTTAAACTTGATTACATGATTCTATGGTTTAGTTCGACACATTAATTATTGCAGCAAATTTGAATTGTGGTTCAAGGTACAGTTAATATGATTCGAAGCTGTAGCTGTACCCCTTCTTCCATGCTTGTAGCATTAAAATGTGATTTCCTTACTATAAGTTGCGCTCAACATATATTATTGCCTATTAATAGTGCTATACCAAAAAGGCCTTTTCAAAATGGAAATTTTAATGGCCATTAGGTGATCCAGCCTATCTTGTGTATCATATTTAATGGCCAATAGTGGTCTAACGTTAAGTCAACAATTAAAATAAATAAATAAATATTTTTTGTTGTTGTAAATTTGGGTGTATTGTCTAACAGAACGTGCTATAGTCAAAATTAGCGTGATGCCTTGAACTTAAAGCTTATGTTTATAATTAAATGAAAATGCTAATTAATCCAAATGTTTAGTACTGTTCCATGTATTTCTAACACCTAACTGCGCATGGGTATAAAACGCGTATGGGTATAAAACGCGTATGCGTCATTATTTATAAAATTTAAATGGATAAAAATGTTCTGCTGCATATTAATCACTTCTTATAAATTTTACATAAGAATATTTTATAGAGTCTTTTTTCATTATAATTTCATAACTTTGCGCATTATTATAAAACTATAATTATGATATTATGTAATTATACGCGTAAGGAAAATGCATCGCTCCCTGAAAAAAAAAACAACAAATGACTCGACTTAGCTATGCTGTGGACAAATATTCCACTAGGCTTTGTCCTCTCACTTATGTCCGTTGGTTCCTTCCCAAAAATTATCTAAAGCCCGCCCCTCCAAATACACAGTTTATGTGAATTTTATCTTCAAGACATCTCAGATAAAGGCGAGAATCTTATATTTTATTGTTGCCATAAATTTCATGACGATATATTTCGAGGAGTGAGCTCTCCGCCAAAATATTTATGTATTTCTCGTATGCATAAGTGATACTGTATGCTGTAAATTTATATTTAGCAAATATTTAAGTTTTTTTTATGCATTGATTTTATGAAAAGGTACATTGTACTCTTAGTGGTTATTTTGTATTTTTAGAGGTTTAGTATTTTAGTGACATAGAGGTTGACAATGTGATAGCACGAATTCGGGAGAAAGAACATGAAATTGCGCGCTTTGTATTTAAATGATTTTCAAACGTGTTTTTGTTAAAATAGTTTGTTTCAAAATCACAGGAAAGAGAACTTATCAAAAATAAAAATAAATTTTTTTTAGAAGCAATTGTCTGTTCCGCGCAGTATGGGATTTCAGCAGGTATACACCGGTATGTCCGTCTTAAAGCTTTTATGTTCCACTTACAATTGCTTAAAATTTCCCACTTATGAAACTGGTATGTAAAAACACATTAATGATTTTTAAAAAACAAATTTATGTCATTTCCACGAAAAAATTATCCGTAGCTTTTATTTCGTGATGAAAAAAAATCTGATGTCACTGTCGAAATTATTTTCTTGATTCAAAACAATTTTAATGTTTGTCGAACAAGTTTGTGGGTTTCGCTATTATAATCTTTTTTTTCTTTCTGTTTAGTTTCAAGATTTTTTAATACATTTAAATTTTAATATATTTTTTCAAAAGAAAATGGGGGAGAGCTTATTTTGAAACTTATGCAACGTAAATTTGAAAAATTACTAAGTAATACAACTCTATCTATTTAATGACTTGATCTTTTAACTGCCACGGTATATAGGAATATCGCCCCTCTAGCTCGCCCGAAATCATGCCAGTACATTATAAATAGGTGGATTAAATCGATTTCTTACCTCACTAATTTTCCTTTTTTTTCTTTTTTTCTTTTTTTAAACTTTTTCGGAGTCCATTTAGAACACCTCTAGATATCATCTAAATCCAGCTAATTATTTTATTTTATTTGCAATTTCGGCATTTCAAGTTGAAAGTTCCATCACGGTCAAGTTTTGGGAATTTCACCACATGGGCGTTTTACAGAATCAAAAGCAGAATCTTAAAATTTGTGTTTAAAAAACAATAATTGCATACTTAGAGCAGAATATATTCTCATTTTAAATTTTATGGAATTAAATTGAAACTTAACTATTCCTATATACTAGTTGTCTGTGGTAACTAGCTTGGACTCCTTTCAACAAGATCTTGTATAACCCATAAACTTTAATGTCAAACCTTTAATATATTTATTGCGCCAAATCTTGAGTATCGTATAATATACATGTATATGTTATTCTTGAGATAGGCAAGATTCGTCACCAATAATTGGTATGACAGCATGCGGCTCCATAGCATGTTTAGATTTTCTACACCAATTGTAAGAAGGACAGTGTCTGAGCTAGTAATTCTCTCTCCAAACTTCTACACCTCAGCCAACGAGATGACTTATGGCCACGACAGATTTAACGTTCACCTTGAAAACTATAATTGAAGCTATGCTTTCTTTTAATGAATCTGGGGTATCTAATATCCAAACCTACCTGGGATTTTTGAGTACCTACCAAATTACAAATACCTTAGTGGCCACTCATGACCTCTCCCGTCGTTCTAAATATAAGGTTCGATAGATACTTCCCTATAAGGCTAACGCAGGAATGATTAAATAGACATTTAAATTGGCACTCAGTACTCCATGAATCTGGGAATGAATCCATGAATCTCATGAATCTGGGGTATCAAATACCCAATCCTACCTGGGGCTTTTGGGTACCTACCAAAATACAAATACCTTAGTGGCCACCTTGGCCTCTCCCGTCGTTCTAAATATAAGGTTCGATAGATGCTTTCCTACAAGGCTAACGCATGAATGATTAAATAAACATTTAAATTGGTACTCAGTACTCCACTCAGAACTCAGTACACTTTCAGAAAATTATTATTTTTCTTTTTATAAGAAAAAAGGCCAAAATGGCAGCTAGTGTTAAGACTGAATTTTGTTGTGCATGCTAAAGTCTGTCATAACATTTGTCTCTATGTTTGTGTGCTTGAATAAAAGATTAAAGTCACGCGATACTGAAAATCACTCAATGGACGTATTGAAATTAATGAGCGACAGTGGAAGAATATAAAATAAAAAAATAGGCATAGAAAAAAACATCTTTGGGTTTTATTGTTTAAGAAGAATGTTATTCTATTATTCTAAAAAAGAAGCTTTTCAGTCAATCCAAAACATTTTTTAACTTTATTTTTTTCCCTACCTTACCATATGGGTATAACAAAACTTTCACTTCTACCCAAATAGATGAGTCACTAAACTGCAGCAGACGATATTTATTTCTTTTTTATTTTAATTGCAGGTGGTGGCAGCACAAACTCATGTGGTCAAACCTCGAGGCAGTTGTGACATGAACGAAAATGCCTTATGTGAACCAGGCAAGACCGACCTGGGTCTGAGTGAAGACAGGGTCAATGCGGGTCAACCTCTCGAACAGGTTATAGAACAGGTGAGTCCATTTACTTCGGGAGAATATAAAAAATAAATAAATAAAATGTTATTGTTTTATTATTCAACTTTCTTTTTGACTTTCTAGAACTCAACTTTCTCTTTTGATCATTTTTTTTTCATTAGTTTTCCTATTAATCCCTCTTCTCGGAAATATGTCCGCTTTTAAAACCGGTTTTATATTAAAACCGGACGGTTAATGTATCGTATATTTGGATTGAACGCTTTATTTAAGATGTGTGGTCATTATTTGGTGATTTACTTCTAAAAACAATTAATTGGATCCAAAAGATATATTTTATTTTATTTTTTAAAATCCCTTAGCCCCTTAACGCAGGCGGGGAACTGGTGTCCTTTTTACATAGATTTTTTCTGACGTTCTAATTACAAGAACAAAAATATTTCGTCTTTTTTTACCATACAGGCTAAAAGTTACTAAAAAATTCCGTTAGATTATTGGAATTATTTTTGTACTAAAATATAAAATAAAAAAATAAAAAGTAGTTTTAGTCTTTTTTTTTTATTCATGTTCAAAATTTTATCAATAATTGATTTCGTAAATTTAAAAAAAAATTCAATGATGAATTACTGTTTATCTTAGATTTAATTAATGGCAAATAAGTGCAAATTTGAAAAATTATTGCTTGGAATATTTTACATTGAACGCAGAAAAACTCTCATGTGTTTCATGCATTATTTCATAACCATAGATTATTAAAATTCTGAATATATTATTTACCATATATTTTGATCTAAGTTAATAATGAAAATATGTTTAATAAAAATTCTGCGCCAAAGGGATAATATTAAAATAAAACCTTTAACTTTTAATTTAAAGTGGGTAAAGAAATACTCTTTTTGTTCATAATAAATTGATAGAAATTTATTAAAATAATAAAGCAATTTAAAAGTTAAAGAAAATTCAAAAAACTAATTTTGGCAATAACTTAATTTTTTCTCTCAAAAGTAGATAAAAATGTTTATAAGTTTTTTTTTTCTCCCATTAATTTTAAAATACTTTTAGCAATTTTAAATTTCACGGCTCTGTTAAACAATTGGCACTTTAATCGTTCTCGTAGAATGCATCATTTTAAGATAGTTTTGTTTGTAATTTCACGCTCATATTGCATTATCAGGGAAATCCAAGGCAAGCTATCTCTTCTTCTAGTATGATATCTGAGTGGAGCGAGGTCAATTTCATTCTGGCCATTATTATAATACCTTCGCTGCCCTTGTCCACTTGCATTGACTCTTTACAAAACCTTCGGCCAGCATATTTCTGGAGTTCGAATTCGGTTTTGTTCTTTTCTCCATCGTTTTATTGTTCTTCTTTTTCTTGTTTGCACCTAATATATTTGTAGAATGAAAAACTATTTAAGAAGTAACACATCCGTTCTTTTTTTAAAAAAATAATGGCGGATGCTGTTCAGGATTAAGACATTTCGGGATTGTTATTTGTTTTTGTTGAATGTCAAGGATTATTCTAGTATGTCAGCTTACTTGAGGAAAAATTTAATTTAACCTTTTTTTTACGTCCGAAATGTTATTTGATGATATATTTGATATTAAATATTTGATAATGATGTCCAAAAACTGTTGTGAGTTTGTAAGAATTACTCATGATTGTTAGGTAGGACTCTCTATGATTATTCTGAAAATGGCGCAAAACATCTATATTGTGGAAAACCGCAGTTTTGAGAAAACGAAAAGCGTTTGAGGTCTAATTTTTTAATATTTAAAAATTTTCTCCAATGTTGCATTTTTCATACAAGTTTGCAAAATGATATGAACAAGGCATTGATTTTGATAATTATCATCTTGGGGAAAAAATGTCGCCAAATTGAAATTTTTTTTAAAAGTGAGATAACTTTTAAAATACGTAAGTTATTTATCCGTTCTAAAGCTCTCAAAATTCTTCAAGGCAAGAGGACATATATAGTTGTTTTTCAAGTGTAGATACTTAAACTGTATATTTTTTATTTTCCTTGGCGAAATAAGTGCTACGAAAATCATGTTAAACCGTAAAAAATATTACCTTATCCATGATTCCCTTCTCAAATTTTAGATAGTAATTTTCGTAGGAAAAAGAAGTATACGAGTTCTCATCCAATTATAAATAAGCTTTTTGTTAAAGTATGAATTTTTTTCTTCATCAGCTGACTTGAAATGCCTACACTGGGACGAGCTGAGCGGATAAGTCGAATCAAATCTTTCAGACTACCATCTATTATCGTACGGATACAGGAAATTAGAGAATAGTTTAGTGTACAGTGTGCTTAAAAGAAAAAGAAAAAAGAAAAAAACGAACTACCCTGATAGAATATACGACTTTTTAAAAATTCTATGGCCGCGATGGCTCAGATAGAGCGTTCGTCAGTGCTGACGTAAAATATCTTCATCGGTAGACGTATCAATAAAATAATATCAGTTAAGGGTATCCGAAACGTTTTGTTATTTTATTCGTATATTAAGATTGAACTAATGCTAACTTGGAGGGGGAAGTTTAAGAAGGATTTCTTTGGCAAAAGTACTGATCTTAAGCCATTTTTCTATGAAGTGATTCCTCGTCTATTATATGTGCGTCAATTGAAGGTTTTATGGTTTTTATTTGTCCATCTATTTTCTGGTGATTCTTAAGAAGGGAAAACAATGTCTTTTTGATCTCTGTCGTAATAGAAATTTCTTAACTCACTAAACATGTTTTAAATATTTCTCAACACTTAAAAGCTTAACGAAATTTCAGTGGTAAATCCATTACGTAATAATTATATATTATATTTTTAAACTGCTACGCATGAAACATGGCCTAATGAACAAAAAGTTTACTATTGTAATTACAGGATTTTTCTTGCTTTAAGGAAAGAATTGACTTCCTGGTTTAAATCTTATTCTCAGTTCTGAAAGGGATTTATTGCGTTAATCATATTTCTTAACTAAGAAATGTCTTAAAAAACTGAAACGGATTGAAATTTTTGACTTTCTAATAGTTCTGTATGCTATTTTTGTACAACCGATTTGCTTGTTTTTGTAATGCGGTTTTCTAGAAGTTGGCCAACATGTTCCTTTTTTGTATTTTTATTTCAAATAAAAATATTTGAAACTTTTTAAGGCTTCTTCGTGGTTATGTTTAATTTTATCTTATGGTGAATGGATGACGTCATCCATTCACCCTTCCCTCCTATTGGCCGTTGCCCTAACCCTCTTGTGACGTCATATTTCTATATATATTTACTAGATTTTCTACACCANGTTGCACTGATGAAGGTTGCCCTTTGAGCATCCGAAACAGCTGTCTGCTTTTTCATAGATTTTTTGTGCTCTTAAACGTTGTTTTACCTTACTTTGTATTTCAGCACAAAGGTCGCCCTTGTGTGTATTTTGTTATTATCTCTGTTTATATCAGGTTAATTTACGCTGGTTCAAAATTTCAGAAATAGAATTTGGCTATCAAAAATTTCTTTCAAGTTAAAGTTAATTTCCTATTCCTTTTTTTTAATTAATGACCCATAATATTCAAAAGTTATCTAATTAATGCAATTTCATAATTATGATTACAATTATTTCAAATTCATTTTACAACAAATGTCTTGTCTTTTAATAAAGAAATTTTATGTTGCATTATTTGTTCAAAAACTCGGAATCTAACTTTTATTAGTTGAAAACGTTGGAAACAATTTACATAAACCTACCTAATATATTTACATAAATCTTCTTGAAGAAAGTACGGAAATTTTTTATTTGGGAAATGAATGTTGTAGTGTTACCATATTTTGAGAAATGTTTCGAAAAAAATGCCTTACAAATGCTTTATATCAATAGATTTTTAAATAATTTGGAATTTTCAATTTTTGAAAAAGTAGCCACTATTAATAATTCCTCTACTTGGCTCTGGACGGTATCAAAATTTCCCAATTTTGTCCTAAATTAAGCTGAGACCCGTGACCCTCAATGATGATTGCATAATTAAATTTGAGAGTTGCGATTAAGAGTCTATTTCCCATAATGTCTTGCTTCAGCTTGTAACATATTGTGTTCCAAAATTCGACCGACATATTCAGAGGGTTGATAAAAGGCATCAAGAGGATGAAAATTTGTCATTAAATATGGGATAGCAAACCATGTTCAGTGGATGAAAATCTCGAAAACCCCATGCAAGCTTCGACGGCATCCATAGATTCAGGCACCCGCTGATATTATTGGACTATCTACAATGGCATAAAAACAATTCCCACACGTGCTTGAAGATGCCATGTGAGCTTTGATGTCTGTCGACATTTTTTCAGGTTGGTTTACGATCCCATGTTGTAAAGTATGTTTTCATCTTTGAATTTGTCGGACAAATTTTGGAAAACCCTTATTTTGGAATCCACTGAAATGGATAGTAAACATGCTCGTATAACACATCTACAACTTTTTTTTAAAGCACCAGAGTATTCCGATTGGTTATTGTTAAACATATGGCACCAAAAACATAAATTTCGGATTCAACACCATTTTGGTAGCTTCAATTCATCATTAATTTTATTAGTTGGAATTAATCCTCACTGTAAAATTTTCTCATACTTCAAATACAATTCTACAACCTAACTTTTAAGCCACAACACCTTAACCTTAGTTGCATAATATTTACCTAGTCGCAGGGGGCGATATTGCCAATACTGGCTCAAACGCCAACAACTCCAAACTAACTGAAATACATAGCTTAAATAAATAGAAAAAAGCTTAAAAATCAAGTCAGATATTGTTATTTTTATACTATTTTCATATGTGTGTAAAATTGTTGACATTCCGTTCGTGTCTATCAAAATATTTTCGAGCTTTAACGCAGATCCATTTATTTAATCCATTTTTAGTTAGGTCACCCGAACTTTCTAATTTGTTTTCACTCTATTGTTTGCTCCCGATTGAGCAAACCATTTTCATAATGCATCTCAAAAAACATGTAGAACCCTCCACAACTTCCGTATCATGGCCTCGGAATGGCTTTCATCTGCTCAATCG